GAGCGGCAGCGCCCGCGGCGGCTCCGCGGCGGCGGCTCCCGCGGCGGCTGCGGCGGCGGCGGCGGCGTGAGGGGCGCCCGAGGCCCCGGTGTGCCCGCACCCCCCGTGGGCCCGGTGTGCCCGCACCCCCCGTGGGCCCCGGTGTGCCCGCACCCCCCGTGGGCCCGCACCCCCCGTGGGCCCGCACCCCCCGTGGGCCCCGGTGTGCCCGCACCCCCCGTGGGCCCGCACCCCCCTGCGTCCCGGGGCTGCTCGCCGCATCCCCCCGTTCCCCTGCACTTCCCTCGCTGTCCCCCCTGTCCCCACGCTGCTCACAGTGTCCCCCAGTGTCCCTAGGCTGCCCACTGTCTCCCCATGTCCCCACGCTGCTCTGTCCCTATGTCCCCGGTGTCCCCATCCATGTCCCCACTGCTCGCTGCATCCCACTGCTCACCATGTCCCCTGTCCTGCCTGTCCCCACACCGGTCACCGTGTCCCCTCTGTCCCCCGTGTCCCCACGCTGCTCACCGTGTCCCCCTGTCCCCGTGTCCGTGCTGCTCACCGTGCCGGGCACACCGGCGGGCAGTGGCGCGGGGCGGCCGCGCTCCCGTTCCCGCTCCCGTTCCCGCTGCAGCCGCGCCGCGCGCTCCAGCCGCTCGCACACCAGCTCCAGGTAGCGCAGGCCCTGCCCCGGCGCCCGCATCCTGCACGGAGCCGCCGCCGGAGCCGCCCCGGCCCGCGGGGAGACCCCCGCGGCACCGCTCCCGGTGTGGGGAGCCCCGCGGTGCCGCCCGGCTCCCCCCGGGGCCGCCGGCTCCTCAGCGCGGCCGCTGCTCCGTGCGGTGTTCCCGGTGCCTCCGCCCGGCTCCTTGGTGCAGCCGCTGCTCCGTGCGGCGTTCCCGGCGCCTCCGCCCGGCTCGGCACACGGATCGCGGCGCGCGGGGCTCCGGGGCAGGCGCCGGTAGGTGCTCGCGGCCGTGCGCACCACGCAGCAGTCCAGCGCCTCCCAGGAGCCGCCTGCAACGGCGCCGCACGGCATGGAGCACGGTGATGGGAACGGCTGCTCCATCCCATGGGAGCCGCCGGCCGCACCCGCTCCCGCCCGCCCGGCGCCTGCCGCCTCCAGGGCCTTCACCCAGGATTTTGGGAGGCTGCAGCCAGCACGGATAATCCGGGATATATCCCCACATCCTGCATTCCCCAAGGGCCAGTGTGAGAGCGCTGGGAATTCCGGCATTCCCAGAGTGGGGCCGAGTCACTCACAATGTCTGAGCGCTCCCTTCCTCTTCCATATGGAGTCTCTCCACATCATGGAAAGCTGGAGCCGAGTGCCGGGTGTTCATCCCGACGCTCCCTTTTGTAGGAGCTGGGCCCTGTATCCAGAGGCATCTCATTACAGGACTGGTTCCCAACTGGTTCCTTTGGGATGCGAGGCCTGGCGCTACCGGCTGGGCTGGTGGTTGTGGGTGGGAAGGTGGGATGCGGGCGGGATGTGAGATGCCGGCACCGGGGCTCATCCCGACGGACAATCCCACCATTGAGCGCAGCCGTGCGGTGGGAATGCCGGCCATGCCGCGGGAATGCCGGCCATGCGGCGGGAATGCCGGCCGCCCCCGCAGCCTGGCCCGCTCCGCTGCCCCGTGCCCCAGGACACAGGGAGCTGCCATGGGGGGTCAGCGCCCCCCCGGGCGGCTGGGAGCCCTCGGCAGGGGGATGGAGAGGGGCCGGCTCCCCAGAGTCCCCAAGGGCTCCCCAAGAGTCCCCAAGAGTCCCCAAGCTGCCACCGCCTGTGTCAGCGCTGGGCCGCCCTGTGCGGGTGCCCGGGGCCAGCGCGGGGCCGGGGGCTGCGGGACCCCCTGCCCCCCCCAGCGGCGGCGCCGGGACCCCCGCGATGTCCCCGCGGGCAGAGCCGCGTGTCCCCCCGCGGGGCGGCGCCTGGGGACCCCGCGGGACCCCGCGAAGCGCCGGGGAGCACCGGGAGCCGCGGGGAGCGCCGGGGAGCACCGGGAGCCGCTCCCGGCGCCGCGCGGCCGCTTTATGGGCCCGGCGGCCCGGGGCGGGGGCGCGGGGCGGGGCAGCCCCTCCCGCCGCCCGAGGCCGCGCGCGCTCATCGCACCCACCGGCCGGGGCTCGCCCGGCCCCGCAGGAGCGTTTGGCCCGTCCGGGGTGGGTTTTATTTTGCGTTAAACCCGTCCGGCCCAGCCGTTCGGCAGCAGGGAGCGCAGCGCAGCGCGGGGCCGTCCCGCCACAGAGCCCGCGGGGCCGCCGGCACGTATATATTATCTCTATATTCCGTGCTGCGTGTGCGCCGCGGAGGGGCGCGGGGGCCCGCGGTAGCGCAGCCCCGCGTGCTTCTCGCAGTAGAGCTCGTCGCCCGCCCAGAAGTGCCCGCGCGGGCGCAGGTTGAGGCCGCAGTCGGCGCAGGCGTAGCAGGACGCGTGCCGGTAGCGCCCGGCCCGGATCCGCACCGCCTGCGTGCTGGGCAAGGGGGGGCGCGGTGAGGAGGGGGGCGCCGTGGGGACCCCCGGCCGTGCCGCCTGTGCCCCCGGACCCCCGCTCACGCGATGGTGCCGCCGCATTTCTCGCACTCGTGCAGCTTGGGCGGCGCGGGCGGCCGGGCGCCGGGCGAGAGCCGGCCGGGCAGGGGGGCGGCGGGGCCGGCTGGGGGGGACACGGGGTGTTGGTGTCACCGCGGTCCCCGCCGCGCCGGCCCCTGTCCCCCCGCTTGTCCCCAACCTGCGCCGCCCTCCGCCAGCGCCTCCTGCAGCAGGCGGAAGGTGCTGGATTGGCGGGGGGGCCGGCGCGGCTCCGCCGGTGTCCGGGCTGCGTCCGAGGGGTCCGGCGGGCGCCGCACGGCCGGCGCCGAGACGGGGCTGCGGGACGGCACACGGGGCAGAGCACCCGCACCGGGATGCGCCGCAGTGCACTGGGATGTGCCACAGCGCACCGGGATGCACTGCCATGCACTGGGATGTGCCACAGTGCATAGGGATGCACCAGGATGCACCAGGATGTGTGGAAATGCACTGGGATTTGTCATGGTGCACTGGGATGCACCACGATGCACCAGAATGTGCCACAGTGCACTGGGATGTGCTGCGGTGCACCGGGATGCACCAGGATGCACCAGGATGCACTGGGGTGCATCAGGATGCATCACGATGCACTGGGATGCACCCCAGCTTTGCTGGCCTCCCACGTGCCCCCCTACCTGCTGCGCGGCTCCGGCGAGGCCCATCCGGGCACATTCCAGGGGCTCGGCGGGGCCCGGACCCCCGGCGAGGGAGGCGGTCCCGGTGCCGGGGAGCTGCCCGGGCGGCCCCGCTCCTGCTGGGGGCACGGAGGGGCTGGGGAGGCGCACGGGGCGCCCGCCCCCCGGCCCTTCCGTGGGAGCCTCCCGTGGAGGCCAAACCCCGGCTAAGCGGGAGCCGACATTCCCGGCAGGAGGAGGGGCGGCAGGAGCCGGGCAGGGCGCTTGGAACGGGCACCAAAGGGCACCCGGCGCCAGGGAGGAGCCGCTGGGTGCCGGAGTCAAGGGAGCTTCCCGATTTGGGCTTGAAAAACATGCCCGGGAAAAACAGGGAGGGAGGCGGGAGGCAGCGGCGCCCGGGGCCTGGCGGGGAGGGCGCTGGGGGGGGGCCCAGTCCCGCCCTGCGAGGCCCGGCCTCCCCAAACTGGTTTGGCCTTCCCGGACAAACCGGGACTGGTTTGTCCTTCCCCGAAGCTGCTGCCAGGAGGTGCCGGGAAGGAGGCAGCGGAGCAGCCTCTGCGGAGGCCGCTGCTCACCTGGAGGGGGCCGGGAGCGGGAGGATCCATGGGAATGCCGGGCACGGAGCTGGGCGAGCCGGCGGGGCCGGGGCTGCCGGGCCGCGGGCCGAGGGAGGCTGGGCTGCAATAGGAGGCGCTCGGGCAGCCCCGGCTCTGCTCCCGCGTCCGCACCGCGTCCTGGCGGGAAGGGAGATGCTGTCGGCATCGCAGTCCCGGAGCAAGAGGAGCATCCGTGCCTGGCAAGGAGCGGAGCATCCCTGCCCACTCACCTGGAAGCGGGCGGCCAGCCGCTCCGGAGAGCTCTCCCCATTGGCATGGCCGGGAGACGGCGCCGGGCACCTGGGCGACAGGACAGGGCTGGGAGGGCGGCACCGGAGCCGGCGCTGGCTGCTGGGTGCAGGGCTGCTTCCCGGCTGGCCGCGGCTTCCATGGACAGCCTGCCCGGGGCTTGGCTGCGGCCGGAGCTGGGATTCATTAGGGAAGGGAGCGGGAGGCAGCACTGGGGCCAGCGGCTCTGGGTTAACCCCTGCTCCTCCGGGGCTCCCTGTAGCCGGAGGAGCTTCCCGGGAGCACCCAGGGCATGTGTGGGCTCTGCCCACGGCTTCCCGGGAAGCCTCGTCCCCCCAGGCTGGCGCCGCGGCTGGGACGGGACCCCCGGGAGCTGCCGCCGCCTCCTGCTGCAACCGGTCGGACCCGGCGACCGGGTAGCGGCTGCCAGGGCCGAGGCGGGAAAGGCTCCCGGCGGAGCGGCCGGGCAGCCGCGGGGGAGGGCGGCGGCTCCGCAGCACCCACCGCTCGAGCTGCAGCCGCAGCGGCCCCGCGCTCTGCTTGATCCTGTTCCGCGCCTCCACGTGCAGCATCGCGCCCGCCCGCTCGCCGTTGATGGAGACGATGACGTCCCCGGGCCGCAGGCCGCCCGCCGCCGCCTTGCCGCGCTCCGCCACCTCCGCGGGGAACGGCACCCATGTCACCCGGGCTGCAATGTCCCCGTGGGCTCCCAGAGCCGCGATGCAGCCACAGCCGATGGGACGAGGCATCGGGAAGCCCTGTCCTCCCCACGGAGCACCCAGGGACCCCTTCCCACGGCTCCCTCAGGGACCTGAGGAGCCTTCGCGGCGCCCCGAGGAGGCTCCGCTCCTACCTGGGACACAGCGATGGGCTTCCCAAAGTCGCGGCCGCCGCTGATGCGGAAGCCCCAGGGCGCGGGGCCGGCCAGCGTCACCGTCACCGACATGGCAGCGGTGCCTCTGCAGGGGCAGGCGAAGCTGGGCCGCGGGCACAGCCGCAAACCGCCCTCCTCTTCCTCCCGGGGCCCCGCGGCGCCCGAGCCCGGCAGCGCTGTCTCTTCCTTCCGGGGAGGGCGGCCGCGGCACCCGGGGCTTCCTCCCGGCCCGTGGAGGCTCCCGGGCTCCGCCGCCGGGACCGGCCCGGCCGGGACTGTCACTACACCGGGAGATGCTGCCCGCTCCGTGCACCCCTTTTGCACAAGGATCCGAGGGATGCCGAGCACGTCCAGCATGACCGGGCGCAGGGCAAGGAGCCCTCCCTGAGGAGCCCTGCGCTCAGCACCGCGCGCAGCCACTGCCGGCGCCGGGAGCACCGGGACGGCGGCTCTGGGAGCCGCTCGCGGCCACCGCAGCCCTGTGGGGCCGGGCAGCGGCTCCGGGGCCGCCGCGCAGGCACGTCAAAACTCCGCGGCGCACAAAGCTGGGCTTGAGAACCTGCCCGGAAGAATTTCCTGGGCTGGGCTCTGCTGCACCGGGAGCGAAGCCGGAGCCCCCTGCCCGCCCCCTGGAGCGCCCCGCAGCATCCCGGTGCTGGCCTGGTGGCTCCGTGCACCCGCGGCCGTCCCCGCACACAGGGACGCATTGGTGGCACCTCTTGGCGTGACGCCAGGGTGACAGGCGGTGCCGGTGACAGAGGGGACGCTGGGGACGGGGCGGACGCAGCTCCGCGCGGCGCCTCGATGCCACCCGAGCAAGCGGGGCAGAGGGGTCCAGGTGTCCGGCAGCGCCGAGGGAGCATCCGCGACAGCCGCGTCCCCTTCGCCCGGCGGCATCGCGGAGCCACCCCCCCGCAGCCGCCCCGTCCCCGCGCGGGGGCCCAGGCGTCCGGGGGCACTCACCGGCGGGCGGCGGCGCCGGGCGGCCCCGTGGGGCGGCGGAGCGGAGCGGAGCGCGGCCGGCAGCGGCGCCGCCCCCTCGGAAGGGGCCGGCGGAGCCCGGCGGGGCCGGGCCGGGCCGCGACTCCGCAGCGCCGTCTGCGGGCAACGCGGCCCCGCGGGGCGCCCGGCCCGGCCCGGCCCGGCCCGGCCCGGCTCGGGTGGCCCGGGCAAGGCCTGCAGCCCCGCACGGTGTCACAGCCCCACGTGGCACCGCCACCCCGTGCGCTGTGGGCACCGCACGCGCCACCGTGTCCGCACTGCGCCCCGCTCACGCTGCCGCCAGCGCCGCTGCCCTCCGCCTGGCCGCCCCGCGCGGCACCGCAGCCCCACGCGCTGTGGCCCCCCGTCCCCGCTGCCCCAGCCCCGTCCACAGCATCACACCCCGCGCGGCACCGCAGCCCCATGCGCTGTGGCCCCCGTCCCCGCTGCCCCAGCCCTGTCCACAGCATCACACCCCGCGCGGCACCGCAGCCCCACGCGCTGTGGCCCCCCGTCCCCGCTGCCCCAGCCCCGTCCACAGCATCACACCCCGCGTGGCACCGCAGCCCCACGCGCTGTGGCCCCCGTCCCCACTGCCCCAGCCCTGTCCACAGCATCACACACCGGGCTGAGGCTGAGCTTTAATGAGGGCCAAGGGGGCTCCGGGCGGGCGGCCCGGCTCCACACGGGCTTCTCCAGCCGCGGCATCATGGCCAAAGCCGGTGCTGGCCCAGAACAGGTCGGGTTAAGGCACTGTGGTGGAGGGTGCCCCATGCAAAGCGGTGCCCCGGCGCCCATGGGGCAGGCAGCCGTGGGAGGCACCAGCAGCCGCGCGGCGCTCACACGGGCGCCACGTAATTGCCGGGGAAAGTGCCGAATTTCTGCGTCCGCCGGGACACACCTGCGGGGCAGTGGGAGCGGGCGGGTGAGGAGCCGGGCCGGGGGTCCCCGGCGCCGCCGCTGCCCATCCCCACGCACCCACAAACCAGCCGTCGTCGCACTGCTGCATGACGTCCACGCGGTCGCCCTCGCGCAGCTCCAGCTCGTCGCCGTTCTGGGGCCGGTACCCGTAGAGCGCCCGGTACCTGCAGGACGCGGCACCCTGAGTCCCGGCCAGGGCACCAGGCGCTGGCAGCTCTCGCGCTACTCACGGCAGCCACCGGATCCCGGAGCCGTCGTGGGAGGCCGGGGGCTCCGCGGGCGGCTCCGGGGCTGGGGGGGATCCCGGGTGGGGGCCCCGGGCGGCGGGCGCTGGCGGAGGCTCCTGGGCGCTGCCCTTGGCCCGCGGCTCCTTCAGCACCTGCACGTAGGTGGCCGGGAAGATGCCCTGGCGGCCGGTGCCCGGCACGCGGCCCTCGTACCAGTTGTGGTCCACGCGGCGCAGCAGGCACAGGCGCTCGCCCTGCGTGGCCAGAGGGGTGTCAGCGGGGCCACCCATGGGGGCCCACAGCACCCATGGGGGCCCATAGCATCTATGGGGACCCACGGCACCCATGGAGACCCGTAGCCCCCATCCCAGAGGGTGAAAGCCCCCATCCTGGATTCCAACAGCACCCATCCTGCAGGCTGGTGGCACCCATCCCAGCGCCCCGCTGCACCCACCCTAGGTGCGAGTGGTTCCCACCAGCGCCCATCCCAGCAGCCAACAACCCCCACCCCAGAGACGGTGGCTCCCGTCCCACCCTGGCAAGCCTGGCGCCCATCCGGGCGGCAGGCGGCACCCAGGGCTTCCCGCAGCCCGTTGCGGCGCTCCCACCTTGCGCAGGGAGAGCTCCACGGGCAGCTCCGCGCGGAAGCTGTAGAGCGCCAGGGCCTCGCCGGGCTCTGGTGCGGCCGGCGCCGCCACGGGCCGCGGCACCTCGGTGGGCGGCAGCACCTGGCGCCGGGGACACAGAACCACAGATCCCTTCAGGTTGGAAGGGACCCTTAGAGACCACCTAGCCCGACCTCCCTGCACACGCAGGGTCACCTGCAACATGTGGCACAGCTCCAGAGGAGACTCCAGAACCTCCCTCGGAACGCCGTTCCCCTCAGGGAACAGGGCACCCTCGCGGGCGGACCCGCCGCTCACCTCCACGTAGCTGGCGGGGAAGATGCCCACGCGGCCGTGGTGCTCGCCCGCGAGCCAGTTGCCGTCCACCTCCTTGTGGATGTAGACGACGTCGCCCTTGCGCAGCGCCAGCTCCCTGCGGGCGGCCGGGGGGCTCGGTGGGTGCCTGGGACCTGCAGCGCCCACTGGCACCCATAGCACCCACTGGCACCCGCAGCACCCACTGGCACCCGCAGCGCCCAACAGCACCCGCAGCGCCCAACAGCACCCGCAGCTCCCGCCGCCCCCGGGCCGCACACCTGGGCGACTGCGCCGCGAAGTCGAACTTGAGCCGGGCCGCCCTCATGCCCGGGGGCGGTTGAAGGGGACGGGCGGGCGGCCCCCCCGCCCCCGGCTGCTGCGGGGCTCCCTCCTCCTTGGCCGTCTCCTCCCTCCTGGAGGCCTCGCCGGGGTCCCCGCGGCCGGGCGGGCTCTGGGGCCGGAGCGCGGCTGCGAGCAGGGCCGGGGGGCGGGTTGGGGGTCACGCGCCTCGGTACCGGCAGCGCCCCCCGCGCCGCCCGCCCGCTGCGCACCTGGCCCGGCCGCTGCCGGCTCCATGGCTCCGAGCCGCGGCGCCCGCGCCTTCCTGCGCGCACGGCGGGTTGCGGGCCGGCCCCGGACGCCTGGGCCCCGCTCAGGCGCCGGGGGGCGGCCCCCGGGGGCGGCCGAGCGGCTCCGGTCCAAAGTTTGGTGGCTCCGCTCGCCGGGAAGGGCCCCTGGCTAATGGACAACCCTGGCGCCCGGCGGGGGGGGCTCGGGGCTCGGGGGGGGGGGCTCCCAGCGCCGCCGCCCGCCCCGGGGCCCCGCCCGGCGCCGGGATGTCCGTCCCCATCCGCCCCGTCCCACCCCCGCGCGGGGCTGCGCCAGGACGCCTGGGCCCCCACCCGTTCCCTGCTCCCCCGGGGCCGGGAGGCCGCCATCGCTGCTGGGGCCGGGGGGGATCCCTCGTGTCCCCTGGCGTGGGGGACCGCGACCCGCGGCGGGGCCGCCCACGGGCTCTACTCACCGGGTGGCCGCGGGGGCCGGAGAGGGGCCGCGGGCGGCGGGAGCGGCCGCCGGGCTCTGCCGAGCGCCGGGGAGGGGCGTGAGGCGAGAGAGGAATTAGCGGCGCGGAGGCCGAGCTTGGCGGGACGCGGAGGCCGAGCTTGGCGGGACGCGGAGGCCGAGCTTGGCGGGATACTGCCAACACCGACCAGCCAAGAGAGCCGCGCGCGGCCCCGGGCCAGGTCCTGGCATCCCGTGGCCAGAGCAACAGCCACGGTCACAGCCAGTGCATGAGGGGCTGCTCTCGTGCCCGGGTGCCTTTGCACCCACTTGTGTGTGTGGGTGCGTGCCCAGTGACACCCATGTTCTGGTGCGCATGCAGCATCCTCCCCTTGCACTCGCATCCATGCATGCATGCATCCAGCTGTGCACAGATGCAGCTGTGCACATATCCAGCTGTGCATGGATCCACCTTGCACGTGTCCACCCTGCACACATCCAGCCGCGCACACCTCCACCTTGCACACACGCAGCCGTGCACACGTGCAGCCGCAAGCGTGCCCAGCTGCGCACACATCCCTCTGTGCCCGCACCCAGCTGTGCCCGCATCCAGCTGTGCCCGCATCCAGCCCTTTGCGCTCCCCTCTCCACGCGCGGGCAGGGCGAGGGCAGGCAGGACAGGTACCTGGCTGCGGTGCCGCCGCCTCTCCATGGCCTCCATGTCCCGGTCGAGCTGCCGGCCGAGCTGCTCCAGCTCCTGCTGCAGCAGCACCTGCGCGGGCGGCGGCGGCTGCAGCGGGTGCCCCGTCCTGCGTTGGACGGGGACAGCCCGGGGAGCCCGGCACTCACCTCTATGGGCTGAGCCCGCGCGGGGGCCGGGGCGCCAGGGCGCTCTGGGCACTGCAGAGGACGAGGGGACCTTGGGGATGGTTGGCGCTGGCACAGCGTGGGTGCGAGGCAGTGTCCTCACATCCCCTCCCCAAAGAGGGTCCTTTGGCGGTGCCGACCCGCTGCTCCTACCTGTCCGGTGAGCTCTGGCACCCAGCACTCGCCCGGCTCGTGGTCAGATCCGCTGTGGGCCTCGGCAGTGACACCCACGACGTCCCCCCTGCGTCGCCCATGGGTGCTCAGCCAGGGGCTCCTCCGCCCGCCCGTCCCCGGCCCTGGCCCCGCTCACCCGTTGGGCAGCCCGCTGAGGGTGGCGGGCGCTGGGGGCCGGCGCGGGGTGTCCCAGTCCAGCGGCAGCTCTGTGGAGCGGGGGGACATTGGGGGACCGGTGGGTCCAGCGGGGGCTGCTGGCCCCGGCCACCCGCCCCCCCGACCCGGCGCACCTGGCAGCTTGTGGTGCATCTGCCGGAACATGCTGCGGTACCAGTCGCGCGGCCGGTCCACGCTCTGCGGGACACGGAGCGGGGCCGCTCAGCGGGGCTCAGGGGCGCCCGTCCCTGCAGGGCCGCCGCCGCTCACCGGGCGCGGGGCGATGGGCATCCCTGTCTCGTCCACGGGCCCGATGCCGTCGAACTTGACCCAGCGCCGCTCGCGCCGCGGGCCCCCCCGGGCCGCCGCCCTCGCCTCCTTGCCCGGCCACGTCTGGTACCACTCGTCAGCTGCAGGGAGGGGGATTTGGGGGCTGCTGGCGCGTTCCCCCCGCCGGCTCCGCGGCGTCCCTAGCGTGGCGGTACCTGCGCCGCGGGCGGGCGCCGCGCTGCCGCGGTCCAAGCCGAGCGCGTTGCTGCTGGGCGCGTTGTTGGTCGGTGGGATGCGGTGGCGGGCGGCGGGCGGCGGGGAGCAGCCCGGGAGCATCATCCTGCGCGCGGAGCCGCCGCGGGGAGCGGCGGCGGGAGCTGCGGAGCCTCCCCTGCTCCGCGCAGCACAACGGGCACGTTGCTGCCTGCGGAGCAGGGCGGGAAGCGGCCGATCCCGGCTCCAGCCAGGCCCCCCTCGTGTCGCGGGCCCGGAAAAGCGTCGGGCGGGAGAGCTGCCAGCGGGACGGCACGGCACGGCACGGCACGGGACGGGGCCGCGGCAGCTCCCGCCCCGCCGAGCAAACAGGGCGGGAAGCGGGAAGCGGCCCCGGCCCCGGCGCGTGAGTCACCGCCCGCCCCGCCGCTGTCACGAGCGCCCGGGCGTCCCGCGGGGCCCCTCGCTGCACGGGCACGAAGCGCCCGCGCGGCGGCAGCGCCGCGGGCCCCCCGGAGCTGCCCGTCCCTCCCAGCGCCGCGCGGGGCGCCCGGGACCCCGGCCCTGCGCAGCGGGGGGCGGCCGGGAGGGCCCCGGGGCGGCGCGGAGCCCTGGGGGGGCCGCACTCCCCAAGGAGCCCCGTTGGCCCCAAGGAGCCCCGTTGTTGTCCCCGCGCCCCCCGGCTGCTCTCGCCGCCCCCTCCCCGCGCTGGAGCGGCGCCGGCCCGGTCAGAGTTTCCAGAGCCGCTCCCAGGGCCGGGATCCAGGGAGCGGAGCCAGGAGGCCGCGCTCGGCCCGGCCCCGCTCGCGCCGACGAGCGGGGGACATCGGGGACAGCCCGGGGGGCCGGGGCCGGGCCGGGGGGGCCGCCCTGCAATGAAGGGCACCGGGCTGGCTCTGTCCCCCCGCCTTGTCCCCAAGGGGGGGACGCTCGGGGTGGCACCTTCGCCCCTGCACTGGGGACCCCCGGGACCCCCCGCTTGGTCCCCGGGCCTCACCGCGGCTCCGTGCCCGTCCCCTCCCGCGCTGGCCCTGCCTCCGTGCGCAGATAAGAGCCAAGGGCGCCCGGAGCCGCCACCGCCCCGGGGCCACGGAGCCCCACGGAAGGGGAGGCCGCTCCGGAGGCCACTCCGGAGCCCAATCCCTGCTCCCCACTCCATCCTCCTTCCCTGTGGAGCAGGGTCCGGATCGCTCCCATCCGCGCTGAACAAACCACGCTGGAGCCGGGGGACGGGGTCAATTTTGAACTTTTTTTTTCTTTTTTTTTCTCCTTAAAGATGACTTCCAATTTACATTAAGACAGTTCTAACAAATTCATTCCTTGTTCACAAAAAAAGAAAAAAGAAATTATATTAAATAATTTCTGCCAATAAATAACATTTTCACCATTTTTTTTTCTCCTTTAAACAGAACTAAAAAAAAAAAACCCAAAAAAGAATAAAAATAAAAGTAAAAAGGAGGCAGTCTCCAGGCAACGGGCGCCGAGCCTGGAGCAAGGAGCCAGCGGAGCCCCCGGCTGCGGCCCCGGCCCGGCCCGCTGCCGGTCCCCTCCTTGTCACATGCACCTTGCTCTAACATGCAAAAAGCCGAGGCCGCGGCCGGCCGAGGCGCGACGCCCGCACTCCTTCCTTCCCCGCACGCTTGTCCCTCTTTTTTTATTTTCTCCTTTTTCCTGTTTTTTTTTTTGTTTTTTTTTTTCCCCCCCGCCAAATCCTGCATGTGGGGCTGCGGGATGGGGAAGGAAAGGGCTGGGATGGGGGGGCTCTCGGCGCGCATCGCTCCGGCGGCGCGGGAACGGGAAGGGGCGAGGGAAGAGCCAGCGCGGGAACATCCCGAGCCGAGGGCGGCGCTTCCCGGAGCCTCTTCCCGCTCCCGAGCCGGCCTGGGCCCCGACGACAAGCCCTGGCATGCAAGGGTGCGCTCGGCCCGCGGGGATGCGGAAGGGATGCCGGAAGAAACGGGGGGAAAACGGGAGAAATACTCACAGGCAACGGGAAGCGGCCCCCGGCCGCGAAGCTGGTTCCAAACAGCGGGCGCTTGTTTTGTTTGCAAAGCGGTGGGTGAAAAAAGGGGGGGAAAAAAAGGGGAAGGTGGAGGCAGGGACAGTGTCCCGCGGGAACCCCGTCTCTGGGATGGGGCCCTATGGAGCGGGCCTGGAGTGAAGGAATGGATGATGGGGAGTGGGGGAAGGATGCTGCCGAGCTGCTGCTTCCCTGGCGCCTGCGCGGAAGGAGCGGGATTTGCTTCCCAAGGCTCCGCTCCCTTGCGCGGCAGCTCCGGGCGACAGGGATGGAGCCCGAACATGGGGAAGGGAGCTGGGACCCAAGGGGGTCCTGTGCTGCCCTGTCCCGGGTGCTGTTGGAGGCTCCGCTCCGCACCAACCTGCCCCTTCCCGGCGGCCTTCCCAACACGGAGGCTCCTGAGCGGCCGCCAGACACCTGGGGGGGTGCAAGGAGGAAGACCCTGGGAGAAAGGCTCGTGCTGGGGGACCGGAGGCACCACCGCGGCCACGCACAGGGATCCACAACAGGAATCTCCCCGCTGCTTCCTCCAGCTCAATTCCCAAAGATGGGAGATCATTCCTGTGCTCTGAATCAGCAGGATTCCCGGGGGAGGCCTGCGGAGCGGCCAGCCCCACTCTGCCTTGGAAGTCTGAAGCTGTGGAAGGAGCTGCAGCCCGGGGGGGGAGAACGTGCCCCCCACCCGGAACCCTCATCCTGCAGGAAAAGCTGCTCCCGCGGGATAACACCCGGGAGAGCCGCGGTGCAGCCGCCGGGGTGCAACCTCGGAGTGGTGCCGGGTGCCTTCCCCAGAGCCGGGCGCTAACGGAGCGGGCGCCGAGAGGCTGAAGGAAACAACAGCAGAGTGTGGGGAGAAGACAACGGTGGGAGAGGAAGAACAACCAACCAACCCTAGTGGGGACGGCACGAGGTGCCCGGAGAGCCCGGCCCGGCTCCGGCCGGCACCCAAGTCGGGGCCCAGCGGCCTGCGACGGCTCTCGTTTCGTTTAGTCCCCCCCGAGCTCTGCCTCTCGCGGAGGGGAGGGCGGCTGTACAGCACAAGACTTCATATATGCACTAGCAGTTAGATTGGTATCTAAATTAAAAAAAAAGATGGACTTTTTATATATTGGACATAAATAAAAAAATTACAAAATGGTCACCTTTCTTACAGAATGGATGCAAACTGGATTATGAACGTGCCTCCAGGTGAAGTTGGTTTCTCCCCTGCCCCCACCCCACCCCCATAATAAATAAATAAAATTCATTAAGTTTTGGATCCTTTAGTGGTGCCGATGGGGCGCGGGGAGCATTACGGGGCTTTCTTGCCCGTGCCGTTCTTGTCCGCAGAGTTTGTGGCGGTTACCAAGTTCACGGGCCCGTCGGCGTGCATGGAATCCTTGCGGGGCGGCATGCGCTCGTTGATGCGGTCCAGCCCGCGCGCCTCCTCGAAGCTGCGGATCTTGTGCTGCGGCGAGAAGCCCCGGATGGCTGCGGGAAAAGCGGCGGCGAGAAGGGCGAGTTAGCGGCAGCCCGGGCGCCCGCGCGCAGCTCGGGGCGGCACGGAGCACCCGTCTGGGTAACGGAGCCAAGACGTGGCGGGTTTTTCCCTCACCAACTTACATGGAGCGGGGAGCAACGGCTGGGAGCCAGGCCGGCTCCCCAGCACCAGGAAAGCAGCAGTTACTTGCTCTGCTCCCTGGGTTTTTTCCCCTTTTAATACCATTTAGAAGGCCAGACAAGTGCTCCGTGCCCCCAGACACTGAAATCTCTCTTTCAGAGCTGAAAAACACGATGCTTTTAACAAAAGAAATAAATAAATAAAAAAAAAAAACAAAGCAGTGAAGACACCACCACAAGGCATTAACTTGGACACAAACCACACACTGCAACACCATGAGAAACAGCTAGTCCTGGGATCACAAGTGCAACCTTCATCTTGCATGACCAGGAGATGCCCAGGAAGCCTCACGAGCCTGGAAACCCCACCAAGGAGCCTGGATCTGTTTCACTACTACCAGGCTGGGTACAAAGTCCTCGCGGGAATGCTGCGGATCCAATGTTAGCTCTTACAGAGAACTTAAGGGGTTGCTCCGAGTCTTTGTACAAGGACTTGGCCTTGCTTCATCTACAAATGATGAACGTACGGTCCCGTTCATTGGGATTTAAGTGGTGCTACCCAGGAGAAAATAAAGGGACTTTATGAATCTGGGATTTCTATGGGATCTGCACAGAGACTCCAGCTTCTTTCTACAGGGACCGTGTCGGCCCGTCTGTGGGGAAGGCAAAACCGACGTGGGAGACACAAAGCCAGCGCCGCTGTGGACGGCTCTGCCCCGGCGCTGCCGCAGCCTTCGCGGGAGCGGGTCCCGGGTGGCCGAGGGCACCCATGTCCCACGGCAGGGCCTCGAGCAGGCGCGCGGGCCACCCCAGCACTGTCTGCTCCGGAGAAGGGGCAGCCCCAAAGCCAGGTCAGTGCAGGGCTGCACCCCAACGTGGGCACTAGGGCTCAAGCAGCCTCCGAGCAGCCCCCCCCGGGGGCTATTCCTTGTCCTTGCTTCCCACCCCTCCCGCCCGCTGCTGGTGATGCAAGAGGAGAGGTTTGCAGAGGGGCCAGGGAGGCTCTTGCAGCCGAGGGCGCGCGCGGAGGCGACGCGGGGCTCCCGCGGGATTCGGGCCCTACCTTCCCGGGCCTCTACCGCTTCTACTGTGGCTGTAAGACAGAAGAGCAGTGGCATGCAAAAACGGAGACAGAAAAAAAGAAAAACAGAGTGACAGTGAGTGATGTAACGTCATGGCTGCTCCCGCACAGCCCGCGGCCTCCCCACCCCGGTGAGCACTGGACCACGAGCGCCCGCAGGAGGGGAAGGTGCCGGGAGCAGCGCTGGAAGGGGGCTCGCACGGCGCTGGGGCCTGCCGAGCCCCGGCACTGCGGAGCCTCCCCACTTCGCGGCCGCTGCTCGTGCCACGTGGAGAAATCCAAACGGAGATGTGGGCCCCGTACATCCCCAGCGCTTCCACTGGGCCATAAAGCAGCGAATGCTTCCAAACGGCTCCAATTCCGCCCCTGCGAGTGTCACCAAGCGCCGGGGCAGCAGGGAGCTCCGCGGCCGCTCCGCGTCTCCCTCCAAACCCGCTGATATCTGTGGGTGGCACTTCCCCAGGGGAGGCCGGCACTGGGACACCCGCTTTCAGCCTCAAAACACTGCAGTTTCTGTACAACACAGAGGCCACGTGGTCCTCGAGAGGAGGAAGAGGAGGGTGGCGGAAGGCAAAGGCGGAGAGAAGCGCGAGGAGGGCACGAGGGGGCAGGCCTGGGTGCCGCGGATCCGCAGACACCCAGGAGAAGGGAGGGCAGCACGCGGGGCCTGGGAAGCAGCAGCCAGGGGCCGGCTTGTTTGTCCTGTCTGCAGGGGATGACTCTCGCCTTCCTCTGCCTCTCGCCTTCCTCTGCCTCGGGGAGCTGCCTCCTCGCTGCCCAGGCGGTGCCGAGGAATGCCTGGAGAGGGGCAGGCACGGGAGCACAGGGAAGCTCCCAGCACTGCTGCGCAAGGAGCCCGCGGCCTCGGGCCGAGCGGCAGCGCCAGCTTCCCGCTCGCGCGGAACGGCTGCTAGAAACGAAGGCAAAAATTCCTCCTCCTCCTCCTCCTCCTCCTCCGTGCACAGAGAAATCTGCCAGTTTGGGAGCGACACCGGAGCCTGCAGGAATGCGCAGCACCATTTCCGCGTTTCTCACTCCTCAACTATTTAATCAGGGCAAGGCAATCCCAGAACAAGCCCTCGGGAAATTACCCGGCGCCGATAGGAAGGGGACGCAGGCTGGGTGGGTGCCAGCGTTCAAAGGCTGGCGGCAGGAGAGGATTAAAACACCAGATGACAGGAGACCTTCTGGGGACACGTGTTAGCGGGACAGCTCCTGCCCTGACCACGGGCCAGTCGCGCTGCCCGGCGAGCTGGAGGCTCACACGGCTCCGGCCCGCTCGCGGAGCACTAGTAGGACAGACCCGTTGCTGCTGTGGGAGGGAGCAAAAGCCCCGCCAAAAAGCACAGGGAAGAAACCTCCCCAAACAGACCACAAACGTGGGGCCTACAGGAGCCGCAATGCAAAACATGCGGGCCCGGAAGAAGAATCTCGTGACTTCAGCTAAGTTTCCTCTGCTTGGGATTCACTACTTTATAGGGTACAATCAGAGGGATTTAGTTTAACTAAGGGCAAACAAAAGCAATTTTCTACTGCTACATGTGCATACACATCATCACACAGAGCTGAGCCTCCTCTGCTGCAAGCTTAGATGGGAAATAAGCATAAACATTATTGAGGAAGGGAATAAAGCAATATCCATGCTTTCTGTTGCTCCTTCTCTGCTCCTCCTCATATTCCCCTCCTGGAAGGCACAGGGAGGCATTTGGGATGCTCCCCACACCCTCCCCTAGGTTTTCCACCCTTTCCTACCTCTCCATCCTTCTCGCCCGCTTGCCCTGGTGCTCTGGAGCAGCCTCACGGGCCCCGAGCTTGAGGGGCGGGCATCAGAGAGCAAAGGGAGCAAGCAGAGAGGAGCATCGTCCGTACTCACCGGTCTGCAGGGTCTGCCTGCCCCCTGAGAGCACCCCCAGGGGCAGGGTGCCCGTGGGCGTCAGGCCTTTGAGGGTCAGCACACTCTCGCTCTCCTCCCTGCAAAAGAGAGGCCATCGGTTACGGGGACGTCGGGGCAAGATGCTCACACGGCTCCCTACAAGGTCTTCCCATGTGCTGGGCACCAGGAGGGTTCGGGATGCCTCAAATTCAGGCATACTTCATAATAAGCAAGCTTTACTTAACACAGTTCAGAGCTAGGGCAAATACACCCCAATCTGGAGAGGGGTCCGCTCTGGAGTAACTTTTATAGGAAGTTATCCAGCAGGACACTGCCTGCCTGGTGCTTTCATGGGCCTGGAAGGCAACTGAAAGCTGGGCACTGAATGCCAAGCTGCTTCCTTACCGAAGGACCGAGAAGACTCGTGCCATCTTCCCAATGGCTCTGATCTTATTCCTGATGATCTCCTTACGGACTGTTGTCCCACCTTGGGAGAGAAAAGAGAAAGACAGTGGCATGTGAAAGGTCCCCTGTCCCGCTTTCAAGGCAGAGGCAATGTCAGTATGAAGCACCTGTGTGACTCCAGGAAAGAAGTCCTGGCTTACAGAGTCACAGCTACACTCTTGAGAGAACAGTGCTGAGAGAATGACAGTCAGGATGGCAGTGAGAAGGGCAACACCAAGATGACACACGGCTTTAGAAGCCTAAGGAGAGTAGAACCACCAAAGGAAACAAGATCAGAGAGGTCTCGTTCGAAGCTCACCAGGTTGGATCACACTACACGGGATGTAACACAAATGACTCAGCCATGTAGACACAGTTTTGCAAGGCAGAACACTGACGAATCTGACTGCTGATGAGCACCGCAGAACACCAGGCTGCGCTCGCCGCGGGGCACTGTGGCACAAGCAGCAGCTTTGACATCCAACACGCGCGGTGAAGGGCTGGCGGGCGCCTCGCAACTCTGCTTCGCCCCCACGCAAACACACACAGGGAGTTCCGTGAGCTCCCCTTCCGCTACACACACCAAACGGGAAAGAAAAGCATGGAGGGGAACTGGAAACAAACCAAAGAAAGTAAAAGAAGGAACAAATACATCTCCTCTCAGCTGAGATTCTTCCAATGGCCCAACTACACATTAGAACAGGACAAGCCAAACCGGAGGTCTAACATGCACCGATGGCTCAGCCATGCACTAGGTGGCTGCATTCAGAAGTCAGATAGAAACGTGACCCCGTTTCTCAAGTTCCTGGAGGAACGCAGAAGGGTTAAAAACACACGGCGCTTATGTTAAAACTGAAAGGGGATGAAGAGGCTGCCCAACTAGTCAGCTATTCAAATCCACTCCGAGGAATCTGGTGGCACAGGCAGTGAAAATTAAGCTTGTAGCAAAGTCTAGCTGGGTACCTTTCTGATAGCTTGAAATGTAGTGATCTTCAGGGAGAGGAGACACCAAGAAACAAGTAGATGAAGACAGAGATAGAAGAAACAAATTTAATTTTCATGGGAGGGAGAAAGGAAAAAAAAACAAAACGAAATGCAATGGGAAAAGCGGGTTAAAGTCTCAACCTGTTGATCGCAGTGGCACCTTGTTATACCACAATGGTGTTCTGCTTCTGCACTGCATATATTTTACTCCAGTCTCTAAGAATTTGCAGCAGCTCGCCTGCTGTCCCCGTGATGCCCCCCGTGCCCTTGTGCTCCCATTCCCATTTTTAGCTGCACGTCCCACTTCTGCACCTCAGTTTCCATGAGGTGCCCACCTCCCTCTGAGAGCATGCTCGCTTGAAAAGCGAGGGGGTGGCCAAGGGGAAATCCAGGTCCCGAGTCAACCAAATCACAAGCAATTTCCCTGGTATTGAAGCTGCAGATCAGCGTGACAGTTCTACCTCCTTACACATAGCTTGAAGTTAGCACAAAGATATATTTTTTTAATATATTTTTCAGGACAATATGAGAAGCCAGCTAACCCAGGAGTTCAATGGGCAGATGTTGTAGCTTAGGCTCAACACTGCAGAGCAACAGAAGGGAAAAAAATAAAATGGGTAAATATTTTGGTGCAAATAATTTTGAGTAGGGAAGGGGAAAAACAACAACTTGGGAGCAGCCTCTGTGAGTAGCAGGAAATCATTCTCCAGAGCAACTGGCAAGAAGTGGCTGTTGCCATGAATACAGCTAAATTCCACTGTGACTGAGTAGCAAAGGGGAGGAAAAGGGAAATAAAAACCCCGCATATCCGACCCAGAACTACAGGAGAGTTAGCCAAACTAGAGATCCTGGCCGGGCACCCAGCTACAACGCAGATGCTGCTCACTGGAACTAGCACCAAACACCTTTCCCCAGCCTCCCCCCCACTGCTACCAGCTCAACCGTAAGAGCATTCGTTACCTTCCAAGGTCTCATCACCATCTGAAATCAACTCATCATCGGAGCATATGTTGAGGATGTTAACGAGCATTTCTGTGACTGCAAGAAGTACAGACAGGAAGATTAGAGAGGCCTGGTGCACACGCTTGGCGAACAGAGGGGTTTGGAGGACGAGCTGGCCGGGCAAGTGACTTCAAGGTCATTCACACTCTGGCACTGGAAACCCAAAGCTACTTTGGAGCTGCTGGTACCTCGCAGCAGTACCCAGAGCAGGCTGCAAACTTCACACCTTCTGCCAAGGAGGTGGATGCAGTCCAAGCACATCACAGCTGAAGCAGACGGGGAGTAGGACGCCAATGTTCCTGCAGAACAGCCTGGCCTCACTGAAGGTGCCACCCTCCTCAATCCAACCCTGCACAACGTGCCACCCTGCTCCCAAAAGGGCAAATCTGTAGGGAATTCAATCTTGGCTTCTGCAATGCCTAAGCCCTTTAGATTTTCAAGCCATCTTCAAAATATCCAACATAGGGTGGAACCTAAAACGCACCACCGTGAGATATAAGAAACATCTGCTGGAAAGGGATCTCCTTGAACCTGAACTGCTTCCCCGTGCTATCAGATATTAATAAATTATAACACAGCCTCTCAGCACCAGAGTTTAGGTCTGCAAACATTTAATAGCCTGTGGGACAGGTTTTTAGAATTGTGATGGACTGTTACCAGTCACTGGGCAACTTGAAAAAAACTCCAAATATCCCTTACCCTTTTCCCCTACGAAAGGCAGAGACCATGTGAAGACATCCATGAAGTTTGGAAGCCAGTAGGGATGAGGGGAACAGTTGAACTGCCTGATGTTCATGACGTTGTTTTCATATTTCAGTACAGCAGCTGGGAGGGAACAAGAAAAGACAACACAGGCCCGTAGGCGACGTCAACCTCAGGGAGTCCTACCTGCAATTTCATTAATCAACAGCGTCAAGTTTGTGCTCATGCAGGATCAAGCTACCAGCTCTCCAAAACTGGGAGGCTTAAGCAATATTTTTGTTGTTTATCCATTACATTGTTTCACAGAAGCTCATCATAACAACGAAGGGCAATGTAATAAAGCTATTAACATTTGTGCAAATCAGAAGTGGGGAATGCAAAGCCAAGATCGAAAGTGAAGGGAAAAACCATCTGAGGAAAATTTCCTGTAGCACACACTTAGTATTATGGGAAGAGGAAGGGGATGAAGTAAAGTTATAAAAAAAGCTTTAAGATTTAAAAAAAAAAAAAAAAAAAAAAAAAAAAAAGAGCAGCTTCTTCTCTTTTATGGCAGCATTCATCAGCAGTGCTCAGTTGTCATGTGGCTGGAAATGAAAGCATTATTCTAGCTTTATAACTTGACAGCTAATTGCAACAGTAATATATTAAGTCTTTGAGTCAGAGAAGCCAGTCACTTCCAGCTCCCCAGCTGCCATTAGTTTAGCATATAAAGCTGTTTTTCATTTCATGCATAAGAATGCAGCTAGAGCAGAGGCAGAGAGGGCAGGGCAATAGAGAAGGATTTCCTAAGAGCATGAACACAGTCCTGACACTCAAAACCCCAGCAGAGCTCTGGTTTTGCCAGCCTTACCCTTGTTGTTATAGACATCTAGGTAATTTGGTGCAGAGAAGATTGTGATTAATGACGGAAAGCCTGTTGTCTGGCTCTTCCTGTACATTCGGTACCTGAAAAGCAGGTTGAGTGTTAGCATGCTTGTCTTGGAGCATGGCCCCAGTGCAGGAGGAGCCTGCTCAGCGCTCAGACCCTGGCACTTACCCGGCGTCCTGGGCTTCATGAGCTCGGATCACAGATAACAAACTATTGTTCTGCAAAAATTCACAAACTGCAGGGTAACTGGAAAACAAAAATTCAACATACATCAGCATGCAGAAAGAAGAACAGCTAGCATCCATGGTCTTGGTTTCAGGAACAAGCCACTTGCTGCATCCATTTGTTCGGTTTGTGCCTAGCATCCCTGAACAAGGCCAGCATGTATTACATCACCCCAAAATTAATTGCAAGGCATTCTGTTAACCAGCCCCCGGTGCCGAATCCTCTCTGTCTGTCAGGCTACAAGCGGTCTGTCAGCAAAAGTGCTTCTCTTTTGGACCTGAAAGGATTATTTCCTAGAGCTGCTGGTGTAGTCCAGTGCCTGAAAACCTCTCAAAAGGCACTCTGCCAGTGACCAGGACTCTTGTTGCTGTCCAATATCAGCAACATAGCCAAAGAGAGCTCAATACCGAAGGAGAAGAAAACATGTGCATTTGTGCATTTGAGTCAACTGAAGACTACTGCACAGCCAGGTATGCTGCAAAGGTCCCCAAGCGATCAGCTCCCCACACATGTCAGCATAAGACAAGAGCTAGAGAGGTAGAGAAGACGAGAGCTCTGATCCACAGGAGCTCCCAGGAACACCGCTCACCTGTAGAAATAGGAGCAGCCTCGAACAGTGTTGTGGGTGAAATGCTCCAGTGTCTTCTCATTGCCATAATCCTCTGATGGATCAGACCACAGCAGGTCACACATTGGACCAAAGGCTGGAGGCTCCTTAAACCTGTCTAACTGAAAAAATGAATGCAAAATCAGGACGAGGCTGACGAAAGCTGCCATGACTTAGTAACACACTAGCTTACAGCCCATATTTTGGGGACAGGCTACTTTAAATGGGAAATTAAGAGCTGTGGCTATTTTCCCCAAGAAAGATTAATCCTCCGTGTCTCATGACAGAGGAGACTTCCCTCCTTCCTTCCCTCCCTCTTTGCTTCACTCTCCAAATCTTCAGAAGAGACCCACAGCGTGGGCATGCAGAACACGAGCCCCAACACGAAACTCCATTAATCAGGATAAGTGCCTCTCCTCTAAGCATTCACTCAGCTTGGCACACTCGGAGGTGGGGAATGCTATTAGGCAGTTGCCACTAGCAAGTTTACACTATTAATTGTAAACTACGCTCCTCCTCTTAATTACTGCAGGAAAAGCCAGGGCTTTATTGCATCTGCAGCCCAGGGCTGATAAAGTAGGAACACAAAGGAGCTGAATCCTGGTAGCAACTGCCCAAAAGCCTGAGGCATGAAGGGACCCCAGAGAGTACTTACTTTCCTAATGTCATCTAGACATGTGATTTCTGGAGACAGTCCTCCATGGACACACAGGAATTGCTGGTTTAGGAGGGCAGCAAGAGGAAGACAGTCGAACGTATCCATGCATGCATCATACACGCGCTCCGAATACTTGATTCGACCTGAAACCAAACACAAAGAAGGTGGCTTTCCCCAAAGCAGCTCCTGCAACAAGCAGGTTCCAAGAACAGCCGAGCAGCTTCTGAACATCCCTCTGCGTTCCCTGTCCACATGGATGGCAGGATTCCAGATCATTGCACCTCAAGAGCTTCCTCAGGTGGTTTTGCAGCACACCCCCTTCAGAGGGCAGCAATACCTTACCAGAGCCAGATCCTAAAGAAGCCCCTGCAACTACTGCAAAACACATCTTGGTTACAAGAAAAAGCACAGTGATGGGAAGCTCACTTTTCCACCACCTTTATTTCAGAGATGCTAAAAGGTTTTGTTTTACTGCATAGGAAAGGGAAGGTACTATCTTTTCTTTTCCAAGGAGGAAAATCAACTACCTCTGACTCCCTGGTTCAAATTGAGCCCAGCTCAACAGGAGCTCATCTACCACCATCTGATGGCTACAGTATCCAGCAGAGCTGGCTGATGTTTTTCAGCCAGCTGATGTTTTTCAAGGTTTTTCTGAGTAAACAGATGTCATTATCTCAACACTTATCACCTTTACCCTGTCCTGCAGCATTCAGAACTGAAGCGCTAAAGACTGGACTTGTGCCTTGCCAATTAATTATTGCTTGAGGTCAGGTCCTTGAGCAACTGTTGCCTAGTAGGGAACAGCACAGAGCTGGTGGATACCTTTTCTTTTATTGCTTTGGAGGAATATCTGTCATTCTCAGGGGAGACAGGTCATTCCTCAGCCTTACCTCAGCACTACTTAAAAAAAAAAAAATCTAAATGCTGTGTTAAGCTATCTTTAACTAATCTAAAATGATCTTAAAGGTAATGATTCTCCTTAGTGCAAACCCTGAGGAAGAAATCCTGTATTTGCTTCCAATTGTAATCGCTGATCCCAGCTGCACAATCTGGAGCTGCAAGCCATTTGGCAGGAATTACATGTTGCTGGGCCTGCAAGTTGGAGTCGGGGGCTAGGGGGCTGCCTGCAACTGGCTCCTCAGCAGGACGGGAAGGCGTGCGTGTGTCCCTGCCATCCGTGTCCATTCCTTGGCACCCGAAGGCCACATCCACACACGCTTGGTACTTCAGGGGACTTGACTTTTTGTATATTTATTCTAGCAGTAGCTGAAACAGCCTACGAGGAGCCAAGTGATGTGCGCAGGAGGGCAGGGAACAGGCTGGCACCGTTGCTGAGTGCTGGCCCATGTCACCCACAGCAGGCACAAAAACGAAGAGCCTCACCTGGCCGTGACAAAGTGGACACGGTTAAATTCCTATGGTCTGGATATACTTACATTCCTGCTTAAAGGTGAAGTATTCTGTGAGGTGCCTGCACTCATGGTTCCCTCGAAGGAGGAACAATGTTTTGGGATGATTTATCTTTAAACTCCATAAATACAGCACGCACTGCAAGAGAGAGGGAAGGAGAAGGCGGCATGTAATAAAAACCTTTTGCAGGGTACTAATCATCCATGGGCTTCACTAAGTGTTTCTGGGAAGATACCCAACGAGCTGATTTTCAAGAGGAGCCCTGAGAGCAGCCCAGCTCCATAACGGGCAGTCCATCTCATCCCGGCCAGCTCCCCCGGCGGGGGAAGCCACCCTGCGCCCTTCTCTATATTAGGCCCGAGCTGGAGAAGTGACAAATGAGGTGACACTCGGCTGCAAACGGACCCGGGGCTGCCTGGGGGCAGCTTCTCCTTCCAGCAGGAACCGAAGCACCAAGTGGCCCTTTTCAGAGCAGCAAAGCACAACCAGCTGCGCGAGGCGGACGTCCCGCTGCAGCGCGAACCAGGCGGCCGCAAGCACGACAGGCGTAGCCATCCTGCTAACCATTTGTCACGTGCATTAAACACCAGAAAACGAAACACTCTCCTCTTTACTGAGGTCTTCCCCCTCACTTCAGGCACGTGAAAGCTCTTCTGGCTTCTCCACGGGCTTTCTGCATCCCCTGTGTGAGCAGCAACACTTGTAAAATGCTCCTCTTTGATGAGGCCCAGACTAAAGCCAAATGGAAACCTGGAAACCGGCACTTCAGCAGGGCCCCCAAATCCTCTGGGCGGTTTCCCAAGGGGCTGCGGGAGAGGGGATGGCTGGAACACAGGAGCACCCCCCCACCCAGCACCCTGCGCTGCCCAGTAAATGGCTAAATGGGCTCGTATCCAGAATGGGAAAACGCTCCTGCTCTTCCCTTGGTTTGCAGCGTGGGAAGGGCAGCCTATAATGTCGAGGAGCTTTAAGACTGGGATTAAAGTTTCTAAGAAGAGCTTACCCCTTGGGCTGACACACCACACGACGGGCACGCTTCCACAGCGGCGCTGGGGAGCCCATCCAGGGTTTTACACTTAAAACCAGCGGCGAGCGGGCGCCTGCGGCTCCAGGAATCCGCAGCCGTGCCATGGAAATGGCCTGCGGGACCCCAACGAGCCCATCTCGGGCTACGCTCCAGCACGGACACCTTAGACCCCGGCATTTGAACACCGGGCCTCTCGGGTCAGCTTTACAGTAATCACTCCAGCTAAACAGAGGGAGCTGATGAATTCCAAGGAGTTTTAAAGCGCTCATTTCTATCTAGCTCGAATCCCACCTGCTCCCTCCAAAAAATCAAAAGGACTGCAAAGAATTATCAATTGAACAGCAACAGCATCAAGGTGCATTGCAGGGTCACTGAAGCTCTGGCTAGGGCTGGCAGAAGTAATGCTTTGTTATATCTATTAGCAGGAGGAATGCTCCCAACAAAAACATTTATAATTACGCTGTGATTTAAAGCTTTAGCCTGCTCTGCTGGCATCCCAAGGGCTATGTTTCCAGGCTATCATGAGAACGAGGGAATTAAAGTTGCTTGAAAGGAAAGAAAGGAGGTGCTGAGGAGCGGGGAAAGCCTCCAGCCCTGCTTTGACTGGCTCAAAGCAAGCGGGAATGCCAAATACAGAGGACAGTATGAGCATTTCCAAGCTGGTTTAGCATTAATGATGCGTAGAAGGCTCGCAGTGTGGAAAAGGCTCATTTCAAAAATGTATGAACAGCGTTTTAAAACGGAATAGAAGTGGAGAGAGGCACCCAGCGGCACAAATCCTCCTAGAAAGGCTGGAGTTCCACCTGAGTCGGCACTATCTCACAGGCAACTACAAAATTTGGGGGCTGCCCAACAGAAAGGTAGAGGGGGTGAACACCAAAGAACATTCAAGAGCCCTTGCTAGCTCTGGAACAAGCAGTGAAGCAGATTTCCACATTCACATGCATCAGATGTTTCCTGGTGTTTTGCACAGATCCTTTTCCCGGCTTTTCAAGGCACCGTGCCCGGGAATTGATTCCTGGATGTTTACAACAGCCTAATAGCAACTTGAGGCAACTAGGGATTACTAGGCTGGAATACTCCGCTTCTCTGGGCGCTCCGGCAGCCCGATGCCCGAGCAGCGGCCGGTTGGAGGCCGCGCTGCCGAGCGGGAATCTCGGTACATCGCCATGGGAGAGCTGCCACGGGAATTGCGACCTGGGAGCCGCTGCAAGCAGCTGTGCTGCAAACTCATGGGCAGTTTGTAAAAGGCTGTGGGCATGAGGAGGTTAGAAACACAGAAGAACCCACACGCAGGAATTCCTGCAGCCCGGATATCTCCCTTCCAGGTATCCTTTGGCTGGATGTGCTGGAATGCTGCAACGGGACACAGCAGAGGAATACTGCTGCAGGAAAGCAGGACGGAGGCCTCTTCCCGCAGAATCCGCTCACCGTCCTAAACATCCTACCACTTTTATACTCAATAAAACAATCCCACTGGCTGCGTGCCGGCGGTTCCTGGCCTCGCCGCTCAGCACGAGGGGCGACCACAAGCTCAACAAACACAGGAATGCTTTGGGGGAACAGCTTTTCCAGGAGAGGATCCGCTTGGGAAGCTGGCGTGCTCTCCCTTTAGGCAGCAGCAGTCCCAGCTTTTACACAGTTGCTTCCCTTCCTTCCTCCACCTTTTTCCTTTTTTTTTTTTTCCCCAAAACGCTCCTCATGGCCTCATTACATGTGCTGTGAATGAATGCTTTTAAATGAGAATTTCCCTAAGCCAGAGGCCCAGAAATAATTTGCTGAAGGTATCCAACTGAGCTGATGAACGGAGGCTCGGGGGCTTTTTAAAGGTCCTGTCTGAACCATCAACTGCTGTTTTTACCTTGACAACCACATAATCTCAGCAACAGGGAAAACTTAGAGGGGCTCTGTAGGCTGCTAACAAACAACCCAGTTTGCCTCAACACCTCCTGGGCCCCCAGTTTCGCATCTTGTTTCCCGGTTGCCTGCACCAGGACGCAATTATACAATTACCTCCATTTTCATTCACTTAAAAGGTCATGATTCTCAACAACATCCCCACCCAGCCTCGGGATGCCTGGGCCTGTGAGTCATGATCCTGGTGCTGCTGCTCTTCACCTTTCCTGCAGCTAAAGCAGGGCCAACGCGGAGGCCCTTCCACCTCCCAGAGCTCCGGGGTAGAGCGCTCCGAGCTGCAAGGCTAAGTCGTTCCAACAGCAGCCTCTGCATGCAGGAGGGCGGGTGCCGCAGCTGCCAGGAGGCTCTGCATTTCATAAGCCAGAAGGCTTGCAAAAAATGCAGGCACAAACCAGGTGCTTTTTCTTCTTTATAGCTACGGTGCAAAAGCTGCTGCCGTTTCGCCGCAGGAGGAGCGGGAGCCTCTCCAAGGCACCAGCTGCGCGGCGCCCGGAAGGCGAGACCCGTGGTGGGGAGAAGGGGGAACGGAGCCTTCGAGACCCCGCTCGATCAGCGGCACCTGCATCGGCCCCCACATGTGCAGATCGAGGTGCACCCCAATTCGTGAGAGGTCAGTGCTAGTTTTGGGGTGCGCTTGGTGGCTTGTCCCTCCGTACTGCAGATCGGGGGGAAGGGGAAAGAGAAGGGTCAAGAAAAGCAGGAAAATCTTCATGCCAAGAGCCTGGAAAACTCAGCTATGCAGCCCCAAAACGGTGGCTGCTCTGCACAGGCCTCGGCCAAACCCTCACAATGAAGCACTTCTGGCTCCCTCCAGCTTTTCCAGCCTTCCTCCTGAGGAGGAGGGACAGAGATCCAAACAAAACTCCTCCTCCCGTCCACTCTGTCCCCCCAGACAGAGTCATCCAGCACTGGGGATATTGTGCACTGCTGTCCCAAGGTGCAGAGGTCACAGTGCTGATCCCAAACACAGGCACCAGCCGCACAGTCCCCAGCGGGGAGGAGCACAGGATGGGAAGAGCACATGGCAGCCCGAGACCTGCAAAACTCCTGTACAGACCATGCGGTCGATAACCTCACTCAAAAATGTTTCAGTTAACTCCCTCCTCAGAAAATCCTTCCCATCTGCAACAGAACTGCACCCAGCAATGCGGCTACGAGCTGAAGCACATGCCTCCGCCATGAGAATGATGTCCCAACACTCACTCTGGCACATCCCGGTCCCACCAGCACTGCTTTTGCCACCTTTGTAAGGCCCGTTTCTCACGTGTCCCCTGTCATGCTGCCTCCCCCAGGACACCTCTCAGGACACGACCCAGCGCTGCCAGCCCGCGGGCTCTGCAGCTTTGCTAAGAGCCCTTCCTGCTTTGGCACTCGTGGATCCTCATGGAGCCACAAGCAGCCAGGGCTTCCCATCATTGCTGTGCCCTTTCAGACCTGTTGCCTACAGAGCTGCAAGACCCCAAGGGTGCGGGGCACTGCCCAGGCGCCCGCGACACGGCAGCGGGACCGTCACAAGGCGGATGGGCTCAGGGGCCCAGCAGACCTTGGCATGAAGCTTGAGGGTCCCAGCTGGTTTCTCCCCGCGGCACAAGGTTGATGCTTTTGGGGGCAGTAGGGAAGCAGTGACTCAGCAGCACAGCAGGCGCTTGGCACTGCTAAACTGAACCCTGCAAGTTTTAAACATTGCCTTGCAGGATCCTGTTCATGCCCTTAATCCTTAAGGTTGGAAGGACCTCTCGAGGTCATCTAGGCCAACCCTGTTGCACACGCAGGGTCATCTAGACCATGTGGAAGAGGCTGCACCCAAGTGGGTTCTGAAGATCTCCAGAGAAGGAGACTCCACAACCTCTCTGGGCGGCCCGTTCCAGGCTCTGGCACCTTCACTGTCAAGAAATTTTCCCTTAAGTTCCTGTGGAACTTTTGGTGCTTCAGCCTGTGGCCGTTTCCTCTTGTCCTACCGGTGGCCACTACTGCAAAGAGGCCGCCCCCTCCTCCTCGCTGCCTCTCTTGAGGTATTTATGGGCACTGCTCAGGTCCCCCCACAGCCTTCCAGGCTGAACAGACCCAGCTCTCCCAGCCTTGTAGACCACCTGCAACCTACAATCAACCCTCCCTCTTGTTCCACGGACAGGCAGCCACAAAGGATATTAAAAACAGAATTTGGAAGTCAGAGTTCAGACATTAACCCCTCTGCTGCTCTGTCACCCAATTCTCCACCAAGAGGAATGTCACATTTGAGCCACACTTCCACCACAGCTGTGCTGCAAGTTACCTGCAATGGGATTTTCATCATATGCAAAAGGATACAAAACAATAAAATTAGCACCAAGAGCTCTGTATTGGCTGATTTCTTTCAGCCTTGCTAGTACTAACACCACCAGGCTCCGTTTTACTTGTCACCTCTATACTGAAGTAGCCTCTGTCCACGTAGTCTCCCAGGAAGAGGTAGCGGGTGTTATTGGGTGAGCCTCCAACTTCAAATAACTTCATCAGGTCAAAAAACTGCCCGTGAATGTCACCGCACACTAGGGGAGGAAGAACAGCACAAAAGAGGGTCAGAATCACACGCTAAGAAAAGAAAGGTCATGACAGCAACAGGGAGCACCGCATGGCTTCGCTCTGACCTAAGCCACCCCACTTTATATCTAGCTTCTGGAAAGATGTGCTCCATCTACACCAGCAAAATCCTCTCTTCTGAGAGTTAATATAAACCCCTCAGTGTCTGAGCAGCAGTGCAAGGAAGAGAGCAGAGAACCTGCAGCTTGGAGCAGCTTGTTTCCTATCTGCGGCTCGCTTAGGAAGCGCTCTGACCTGTGATGGGAGCCTCCACTTCGATCATCGTCTTCTCGTGCCGGAGAATGGCAGCCCCGTCGTTGATTATCTTGAGCGCCGCATCTTCCTCCAGGCGCCCTTCCTTCACCAAGTGGCTCTTGAGGACGTCGAGCCGAGGCTTCCCGTCCTCAAACACCTCCTTCAGAGTGAGCCGCTGCGTGGGCGGAAAGGGGACAGCTGGAAATGGAAGTGGAGAAGTTAGCAGCACGGCTCTTCCGGGGGGAAAGAGCTACAGTCGTTTTAGCAAGAGACGTTCGTTCCAAGCTTAAGGACGAGCACGCGTTCGGAAAGCCGCTCGCGCTAAAATTAGGCTCTCAAATACCCCAAGCAAAGCTCTGCTGTCAGAGCGACCGGCGCTACAGCCCTCAGCATGGCTGGGAAGCCGCCTAAATGCCATATGCAGCCCCAGAAACCGCAGGCAATGGAGCCCTCTCTGGAGCTGGGAGCTCAGGCCGCCGCAGCGCTGCGTTGGGCAGGGCTGCACGCAGCGAGTGCGGACCACTTGGGTGACTCATGTGCCCTCCCCTAGGCCAGGCTGGTTGAAAACACAGAAAATAATAAAAAACGAGGTGACCACGCAGCTCTTGCATCATAGTGACAGACTAGGCAATGGCTTCATTCTCAATAAATGGCAGGAAGGAGGCCGGGATGTTTGGGAAACAAAGGAAAAGGGGAAGTAAAACCCCACCAAGCAGACGTAAGGGCAGCGCTTTGCATCTCAACAGCACGGACACAGGCCCAGGGACCATCCCGGGGCCACACCAAAACGCAAAGGCTCCACAAACTGGAGCTTTCTGTGGGTTTTAACCACCCCGACGCCAGGTTGCTGCTTCCCGCGCATCGGCACCATCGTGGAAAGCCGGCTTGGCACTGAAGTACGCTCCGGCCAGAGGAGAACGATGGCCCTGACGTGCCAAGGAGGCTGCCGCGCTCGCCAGCCATCCTCGGGCCAAAGCCTGGCGAACCGAACGGGTAGCAACCGCGCTGGGCACCTAGAACAGCGACCAAGAGCACCAGCCACCTATTACAGCCACTGCCAGCAAGGCCAGGAGCTCTTTTACATGCAAATGCAGGAGCTATTTGGTCTGGAAGCTCAGGGGGCAGAGAGCAAAGCAGAAAGGCAGCACAAGAGACTCGCTGCAGCTTCAACATCCATTTTCCAACAACCCGAAATGTAGGACAGAGGAGAACAAGTGCAGATACAATGAAAGGGGGCCTCAATGCTGCCTCTAACGCGGCCCTCTCATCTGCCGCTTTGAACGCTTGGCTCTGCTGCCTGGGCACTTGCAAAGGGCCCTGAACGGTCCAGGCCACACGCGGGGCTTTCCCCAAGGAGCCTCCAATTAAAGAGGTTTAAGGCAGACCCCTGCACATACCCATGCCAGCCTGGCACGGTACTTTTTGCTGCACATATTGCTCATCTCTACCGCCTAAGAAAAGAGGGTGACCTCTTTGGCGATTGATGAGAAATTCTGCATTTTGCAGCATTTAGTTCTTTGTGCTCCGCAGTGCCTGGATTTCTACACGGACAGCATCACTGGCACTGTAGATGTGGGCAGAAGGAAGCTGTTGGTCTCGCATAGGAAGAGGCTGGGATGAAGAGATGGAAGTTGAAGAGATGTCACTGCCAACACGCACAGAGGGCTGCTGAATTTGCAGGTCCTTGTGCAGAGCAGCCGGTTGTCCTAGCGCCTGTGTCCGACTCCAAAGGAAGCCTGGGAGCACTTGAAGGTCAAAGGATTTGCAAGGGAGACAAGACGACTCCAAAGAGGTAGGAATTCTCAACACAATCTGCCACGTTATCACACATCCAGACCTTCAAGAATGGCCACTAATTCCAGAGCCAACCAGAACTAGCAGTGGTAGCTAAGTAAAAAACTCGCAGAAGTTTTGATAGAAACTTTCATGAAAACAGCACAAAAATCACCAGAGCAGCAGTGCCCATCACGCAATTCACAAGAGATGCAGGGAAAGCTCCTGGCAGGGGCTGCTTTGCCTTTTCTTGGTAGCCCTAAGCGAGCAGAGTTATGCAAGATAAAATATGAGGATATGCCGGCGCGAGCAGCCAAGAACTTTTATGTAAGTTCTCACTGCTGGCTTTGCACAACTCAACTCCCACGAGGAGCCGGGCACGACAAGGAATCAGCTCGAGCCAAATCCCAGAGCGTGGCTGCAAGCTTTGGAGAAAGCAATCTGGAAAGTAGGACCAGGATGGTTTGGGGAACGTACGGACACACGGAGACCCCCGAGGAGACCGGGGATTGCTCCACGTTGGTCCTTTGCCGCTTGATCCGCTTCCCCTCTCGTGTTGTGCAGGCAAAGCCCCAGCCACCGCCAGCCCCTTCCTGCACGCAGCGAGGCGGACGAGTACTTAAGTCATTAGCGTTGTCAAAGCAAGTAATCCCGTTAGCCGGTGTGACTCGTAGCAAGGCCTTCAGCGACGCAGCGCAGTTATCTGACACACTGGCATCCTCGGTAGCAAGGGGAACCTTCCCATCCTAAGGCTGTTGAAGTGACCCATGCTGTAGGAAGGTGCAGGGCACAAGCCCCTGGCCTGGCTTTGCAGGGCGCAGGGACACGGTGCTCAGAGCGGAGGCTGGGGCCGTCAGATCGACCGCTGGCCTGGGGGCTGAAGCCTTGCACCTTGAGCAAGGGGAGAGCCAAGGGTCCTGCTCCTTCAATGCTCCCACCTGCAGGACTCTTCTCCGTGCTGGCCGGGGACGGGACAAGGGCAATGGGTGCAAGTTGAACCCCAGGCAGCCCCATCTCCGTGCGAGGAGGAATTTCTTCCCCGTGAGGGTGCCCGAGCCCTGGCACAGGCTGCCCAGGGAGGCTCCTGCTCCGGAGATCTTCCCAACGCGCCTGGATGCGCCTGGGTGCCCCCTGCTCTGGGTGTCCTGGAGCAGCGGGTTGGACTGGATGATCTCCGGAGGCCCCTTCCAACCTTAACGACTCTGAGGACGGGGAAACACGTCCTCATCTCGCCAGCCCTTGGTGCCAGAGCACCAGAGCGATGCTCGCAGCCAGCTCCTTCCTTGCAGGAAAACCAAGGATGAGGCGTCCACACCACCCAGTTTCTTCTGGACGCTTCTTGCCGTGATCTTCACGCCGCCCTTCCCTTGCTTACACGGCACGCGGCGCCCAGGCTGACTTGTATAGCAAAACCTCAAGGTCTGGGGCTTGTGATTCCGCAAGGGCATCAGCCCACGGCCGAGGAATCACTGGGAAAACGCTGCAATTCCCACCCTGCCAAGAGGATGGACACCGGGCCCCAAGCTCTGTGCAAGGGAACACAAGCACGAATGAACTTGGAGGTGTAAAATGGATTAAAAGGTTGGCTGTGTTACAAGGAGCACAGCAAAAGGACAGGAGTGTCTTTGCTGGTCTACAGCACAAGAGTAACAAATAAAAAAAAGAAAAATTGCCAATCCAGGGCCACAGGGATATTTCTGACAACTAAAAAGGGGGCTATGGATAGGGAGAGACTGGAGAATTTGGCAAACAGCTGCTCTTCTATCAGGAACTCTGCAAAACCACAGAGCTGAGTCCCCCAGCAAAGGAGCTCCACGCGGCAGCCGCGTCCCTGCTCATCACAGCCCTTCTCCCACGGCTGCCCCCCAGCAACTGCCGGCACAACCACAGCCCGGCCGGGGGCTTAAACCACAGCCCGGCCGGGGGCTTAAACCACAGCCCGGCCGGGGGCTTAAACCACAGCCCGGCC